CCCCCCCCCCACACGTGGACCACTCACTGAGTGATATCAGAAAACAGAGAAAAGTTGGACGTTTCATGGCATATTTGGAAAGAAAAACAGTTAACCGACGGCACATTTTTAAATGATTTTTCCTTGTAGAAAAGTCCAATTATGCAACAAGAAGCCCGTAGAAAGTCAAGGCGCAATGTTGGGTTGTTTTAATGGTGCAAGACACATGTTAAATTCTAAATGACGCTGTAAAACATCTCTACTTAAAAATGTCAGTAGCCCCTTTTCCCATAACTGAAGATATAGTTTTTTTTAAACCTGAATTCACAGTACAAAAATATAATATGCCTTTGCTAACTGGATATCATGAAGTCTATGGTAAACAGCAGACTTATGATAGTCGTTCATATATTGCATTCCCAATGTGAGTCCATCCTATGATCTCGCAATACCATTTGGCACTTTGGCACACCTTGTACTCATAGACAAACGTAAAATAATGGAGCCACTCAAGCGTTTATGTCAGGATGTATGACAACACATTCAGGAGAGGACTGTTCTTGAACGCCTAACCCTCTGTTTGGCTTTATTTGATGACATTTACACCTTTTTATCTCCCTCGTAATCAGACAGCTTCTGCAGAGGTTTCGGTGGACACAGACATTGTTACTTTGGCTATTTTCACAGTGGTCTTCACGCAGCTCTCTGCAGCCCTGTTGGCAGAAATGTGGGCATTCCTGTTCTGGCAGTCGGACTCGAGGCTGTTGTCCAGCTGCTGGGCGCTGCCCCTGCACGCGCCGCAGGAGCTGAGGAAAGCGTGCCGCAGGTCCTTGCTCCTCAAGGCGTAGATGATGGGGTTGACGGTGGAGTTGAGCAGGCAGAGCATGCTGCAGAACGCAAACACCGTCTTGATGTCATCGTCCATCTTCCAGAAGAGGTCGTAGACCATGATGGCGAGCAACGGGCCCCAGCAGATCACCAGCACCACCAGGATGAGCACCAGGGTCTTGGCCAGACGGATGTCCATGCGTGCCTGATCAGGGCGCGTGGTCTGCACTTTAGTCCCGTCGGCCGAGTAGATCACCAGGCTCTTCTGGGAGGCACGGCTCAGCATACGCACGGCGTGGTGGTGAGCTTTCCACAGGATGTAGATGTAGGCGTAAAAGATGAAGATGACCAGCACGCTGGTCACGCTGATCCAGAACATCAGGTAGTTCTCGTCAATGAGGGGGAAGATGTCTGAGCAAACCGAGTTGAGCCGTTTACAGTTCCAGCCCAGCAGAGGGATCATCGCGATGATGATGGAGATGGCCCACATCATGACGAAGGCTATGACGGCCTTGGTCCGCGTCACGATGCGCCTGTAGGCGAGGGGACGGTGGATGGAGATGTAGCGGTCGATTGCGGTGAGGAAGAGGCTTCCGACCGACGCCGTGTACGACGCCGTGACTCCACCCAGCTTGAAGAGGAAAACATTGGGGCTGTCCTTCCTGTGGAAAACGTGGAAGTCCAAAAAGCTGTAGACAAAGATGACGCTGCCCAGCAGGTCGGCTATGGCCAGGCTGCCGATGAAGTGGTAGGAGGGCCGGCAGCGGAGGGTGCGGGACTGCAGGATGACACAGAGCACCACCAGGTTCTCCAGCACCGTGAAGGTGCCCAGAGTCAGAGACATCACAGCCACAGCCAGCTGCTGGCTGGGGGTCAGGATCATGAAACACTCCATGTCCATGAAGTTCTCCCCACATTGTAAATTAGTCTCATCTCTGATTGTGCTCCGGTTGCCAAACAGGTCCGTGGCATTGGTGGGGAAGAAAGGAATGCTCTTCAGGATGAGCTCCTCATCTGCAGGTACTTTGTTGGGGAAGGAGTTGCTGCGGAAGGCAGACAGGGGCTTCTGCATGGAGAAGCTGCCCTTGAAGTCCGCATCGCCGAGGTGGTCTTCATAGTTGGCGTCGTTGGAGCTCAGATACTGTAAGCCAGATGTAATAGTCCGGAAGGTAGTGTCCGCCACACCATCGAGCACAGATTTCATGGCTGTGTCTGAGGGTAATACTGCAGTCTAAGATGTCCAGACAACCTACGGATCGATAACAAAGACTTCAGACATGTTTTTGAAAACTGTGAAAGCCTTGAACAGAGAATAACCTTGTGCTTATAATACTTTCTGCTATTCCTTTCCTCTTTCTTTTTTTGGCAAAAGAAAAATATTTGAGACAGAAAAATTCCATTTACTTGGAAAAAACCTTGAATCCTTGCGGATTTACGACAATGAAATTCTTCTATTTAGATATTTCCTGAGACATAAAACACATTTTGTCATCAATAGACCGAAAAACACTAGAAAGACTTTTTTCAAATTTTTATCTATTCTAACCAAAACCACATATAATTTCTTAAAGCACCCTAATAGCTTCTAATAAAATAATCATTCCATGAATGATTGTTTTATTAGGATTTTATAAAGTAGGCAGGCATAAATTTCAATTTTGATTGATTAAAAACACATTAAAATGAGCATAAATAGTATTTTTGATGCTGGGATAACAACACAAAGCCTTAAGAGTAACAACATACGCTTTAGTCCAAGTCTTAAAGTAGAAAAGGTTTTGTTTTTACCTTACATAATTCTCCAGAGTGTAGCAGAATCGCCCTTTATCACCGTGCGTAAATCCAAGTCAGAGGCGCATCGTTCAACCAACCAAAACCCTGACTTTAGGGAGAAACAGGTGCCGTTTAGGCATCACTTTACTCGGTGTTTCTCTTCCTCTGCTCCTCTGTCAGAGAAGTTTATGGGATGTCTGAGGAAGCGTCCCTGCGGCTGTTGGAGCGCGCGCTCCTGCTCCGTGGACACAGGTTGCTGCTGGTTCCACTGCTGCCTCCAGCGTTTCTCCAGTCCTCCCCTTTTCGTCCTCACTCCTCCTTATGAAGCTTCGCCTCCTCCGAGCTCCGTCACGTGGTTCCGCACACACACACAGCCCCGCGCGCACCGTGCGCCCCGCGCGCCCAGCCCATGGAGCCGTCAGCTGCTACGCGCCAAGGAGCGAGGAAAGGCACCCGGTGGAGAGAGGCTTAGGAATGGATTTGGGTTGAACTAAAACAGCTCGAGCACGACCATAAAACCTAGACACTAAAACACATTTATAATGATTATAATAT